GTTTCCTGCCTCTGGAGAGCCAGGTTGGGGGAAGGACCATTTTTCACTCTCCCCAGGCTCCAGAGCCTTCCTAGGAGCCTGGGGAGGGTGAAAACGGCCTTGCATGATCCCCCCACCAGTGCTCCCCCCATTTTTGGCACACGACAGCAAAAAGGTTAGCCATCACTGCACTATAGTATGATAAATGCATAATAAAAAACATTTGTAACAATAATATTTTATATTGTAATTACGCTTACATGCCTATTAATTGTTATTTAAATGACTACTTTTCCATTGAATGAATTTTTTTTTCTCAACGTTATCTGTCATGTTTCGGTAAGAAGTAAACAAAGCCACTTGCGCGCGGCGCACTCTCAAAACAATTCTCCTGGGCGAAGTGCATGCGTCTCATAATCGCGTCTCTCCGCACTGTACCGAGCCTTGACGAATCGTCATGTCAAATACAAATACGTCACATCACATGCAATGGGTCGGTTCGGCATTGATCGAATACGGCGATTTACAGATTAGTCTTCAAATATCGGAGGATATGTAGGAGGACACTTTTCGAGACAGGACAGAACTTACAAAAGAAGCACTCTCACTCCCAGATGGCCCTGGCTCCATCTCTGCCTTCGACGCAGAGCCCTCGTCCAAGCCCTCCCCAGGCTCCAGGACTGACCCATGTTCCTCCCCAGCCTCCTCACTGTCCGACTCCGCTGCCGGCTCTGCAGACTGCTGGTGGACTACAACACTCATGCTGCTTTCACTTTTAGTGTTTTTCACTTGCCAATGAACTATGGCGGGAGGGAAGGGGGAATTGGAATGTGGATTTTAAACATCCAGCAGTCAGGCTCTGGGAACCAAGGTCACCTCAGCAAGTGTTTGCCAGACTTTCAAGATATCTCCTCATAACAATGTTGCGACAATTAATTGGACCATATGACCTGCACCAATAGGGAGGGAGGGAGGATTCTACACTTTAATTATACTGAAGGGCGCAGGAATTAGCCAGAGCTGGCTTTGCTTTCGTGCTGTTTTGTTTTTTTTTTAATTTGATTTATATGCCGCCCTTCTCCGGAGACTCAGGGCGGCTTACAATGCGCTAAGCAATAGCCTTCATACTTTTTGTATATTTATACAAAGTCAGCTTATTGCCCCCACAAACCGGGTCCTCAATTTACCTACCTTAGAAAGGATGGAAGGCTGAGTCGACCTTGAGCCTGGTGAGAATTGAACTCACAGTAATTGCAGGCAGCTGAATGTTAAATGCTGCCTTAGGAGGCATTAGCCTCCTACGCCACTCAGGCTCCGTGCCGAAATGATATACTCAGTAAAGTTTAGCACAAAGAAGTCGTCTTGTCTCGTCTCGTCAGCGCTTGGGTTGGGTTGAGTTCCTTGACATCAAAACATTAAAACTTTATTTTTAAACATAAATTTTTATTAAGAAACCAAAATATTAAGGACTGTCCTCCCTAAAGGAGAACGATTGGTTAGCGTATCTCGCAGCCCTACGATTCTATGTTCCTGAATGAAAAGGGGAAAATGCTCTTTGCTGCATTGGCTCTCTGCCTTCCACTGCTAATCTTCCCTGCACAATCCGCACTGGGCAGCTGAAAAACCCTTTTTACCTGGGTTTTTTTTTTTTTCTTCCTGTTGCCCGGCACGGTGGGGGTGGCGAGGGGTGGGGGTGGGGGGCTGCCAGCTTGGAAACAGGCCCCCTTCTATTTGCGGAAAGGCCCCAATCTGCAGACAGAAGCCTGACTGTCCATCGGCCCCTTTGCAATTGATGGCGGAGCTAGCCTGGAATCGGGGAGGAAATTGAACCGGCTCGGGCGAGATGCCAGCTTGGTGAAGGGCATAAATCACAGCAGCCAAAGACAGTTTCGGCCGCGCGGCTGATATGTCTTGCAAGGCAGGGGACGTTTGCCTTGTAGCCTGGTGGGTTTCTCCTGCAGCGCTGCGTTTCATTTTTATTTTATTTATTTATTTATTTATTTCATTTGATTTATATGCCGCCCTTCTCCGGAGACTCAGGGCGGCTTACAATGCGCTAAGCAATAGCCTTCATCCTTTTGTATATTTATACAAAGTCAGCTTATTGCCCCCACAAACTGGGTCCTCATTTCACCTACCTTAGAAAGGATGGAAGGCTGAGTCAACCTTGAGCCTGGTAAGATTCGAACCTGCAGTAATTGCAGGCAGCTGTGTTAATAACAGGGTGCTTTAAACCACTGTACTACCAAAGCTCCTTATTTATTGGTGTAACAGAATGGAAAGGGACCTTAGAGGTCTTCTAGTCCAGTGGTCTCCAACCTTGGCAACTTTAAGACTTGTGGACTTCAACTCCCAGAGTTCCTCTGCCAGCGTTGCCAAGGACTCTCTGTACCATTTCGGACCTTGGAAGTCTTCTAGTCCAATCCCCTTCTCAAGCAGGAGACCTCATACCATATCAGACAAATGCCTGTCTTGTCTCTTCTTGAATACCTCCAGTGATGGAGCACCCACAACTTCTAGTGGCAAGTAGTTCCGCTGATTAATTGTTCTCGCTGTCTGGAAATTTCTCCTTAGTTCCAGGTTGCTTCTCTCCTGGATTAGTTTCCATCCGTTGCTTCTTATCGTGCTTCAGGTGCTTTGGAGAAGAGGTGGATCCTCTCCTCTTTGGGGCAGCCCCTGAGATATTGGAAAACTGGTATACTAGTGTCTGCTTGCAGAGGGAAAGTTGACTCCCATGTTGGCTCTCGGAGACCCCCAGTGATCTAACCCAGTGGTCCCCAACCCCCGGTCCGCGGACCGGTGCCGGGCCGTGGAGTACCTGGCACCGGGCCGCGCAGCGGCCAGGGGACATGAACGCTGCAGCGCAAAGGCTCCTGGGCCGTGCGCAAAAGCTCCAGGGAAGAGAGCCCCGCGCAGGTACGCACGTGTGGCCCAAAGCCCCCACCCCTGCGCGCGCTCAGCGGGCCACAATAAAATTATCAAAGGCTGATTGGTCCGCGGCGATAAAAAGGTTGTGGACCACTGATCTAACCAACAATGTTTGATGAAAAGATAGTGAATCTTCCTCCCTTTTCAAATCAGGATGAAAGTCCTGTAGAGGCTGGGATGCTGTTTGCAGATACTTATCCCTATTATTATTATTATTATTATTATTATTATTATTATTATTATTATTATTTAATCTTTAGTGAGATTCACAGCCTTTGAGGCTGGTTAATAGCTCAGCAGCTCGAGTCCTAACCAAGGACCTAGGAACTGTTAAGGTATCGTCGGAGGATGTAAGCTGTTCCGAGTAAGGTGGTTTTTTGTAGAGTCAAAATGTTCAAGTCCGGCAGATTTAGAATTTCTAAATAGCGGGGTAGCCCTTTGGGTATTGCTCCGAGGGCTCCAATTACAATCGGGACAACACACGATTTCTTTTTCCACAGTCGCTCAACTTCAATTTGCAAATCCCCGGTACTTTGTGATTTTTTTCTTGCTGCTTATCTTCAATCCGTGCATCACCAGGTATTGCAATGTCAATGAACCATACTTTTTTCTTTTCAACTATTGTTATGTCAGGTGTGTTGTGGACCAAGTGCCTGTCAGTCAGAATCCTAAAGTCCCACAAGATCTTGAGTTTCTCATTCTCTAAAACTTTCTCAACCTGATGTTCCCAGTGGTTTTTGTTGTATTCAAATCCAAACTTCTGGCACAATTTCCAGTGAATGATCTTAGCAACACGGTCATGGCGTTGTAGGTAGTCAGTTTGTGAAATTTTGCTGCACCCACTGATCAGGTGGTCGACTGTCTCCTCTTTTTCATTGCAGAGGCGGCATTTGCTGTTGGTGGTAACATGTTGAATTTTTGCTTTTGTGCAGTTTGTCGCTAGGGCTTGTTCTTGGGCTGCCAAAATAAAGCCTTCTGTTTCTTTTTTCAGTACTCCTGATCTTAACCAGTTCCAAGTTAGTTTCTGGTCAGCTTTGCCTTCAATACTTTATTATTATTATTATTGTTATTTATTACATTTTTATACCACCCTTCTCCTGAAGGACTCAGGGCAGTGAACAGCCAAGATTAAAATACATACAATATGAAAATTAAAATAATTTAAAACATAATTAGATCAATTTGGCTTCCCCAATTTAAAACCCCTTACCCATAAAATTATTATAAATTATGAAATTATTATATCTTCACGTCTTCAACCCTCCTGAGAAACAACCCCAAAGGACTGCAAAATTTCACCGAACTGGAAAGGTGGGGGGGTGGGATTTTATGATCAGGTCCTCTTGGACCTGTCGAAAACTAACAGCAGTTAGATTTATATGCCGCTTTACAGTGCTTTTACAGCCCTCCCTAAGCGGTTTACAGAGTCAGCCTCTTGCCCCCAACAATCTGGGTCCTCATTTTACCCACCTGGGAAAGATGGAAGGCTGAGTCAACCTTGAGCCGGTCAGGATCGAACTCCTGGCAGTGGGCAGAGTCAACCTGCAATGTAGCATTCTAATCACTGTGCCACCACGGAAGAAACGGAGGGAGGGAGGGAGGGAGGGAGGAAGGAAGGAAGGAAGGAAGGAAGGAAGGAGGAATCAATAGCAATAGCTATAGCACTTAAGACTTATATACCGCTTCGCAGTGCTTTCCAGACCTCTCTAAGCGGTTACAGAGTCAGCCTCTTGCCCCCCAACAATCTGGATCCTCATTTTACCCACTTTGGAAGGACGGAAGGCTGAGTCCACCTTGAGCCTGATGAGATTCGAAGTGCAAAATTGCAGGCAGCCGGCAGGCAGCAGAAGTAGCCTGCAGTACTGCACTCTCACCATTGCGCCACCGCGTCTCAGTGCACCGCTCCAATGTTTCACCAATCCCTGAAGGTTTTCAAAAAATAGACCGGAGAACCATTTGACTGGGATGGTATAATAAGGGGTTGGACGAGAAGACCTCCGAGATCCCTTCCATCTCTAGGATTCTAGGTTCACAGTGATGTTCTGGGTAGACATTTTCCTTGATTCTTTTCTCTCTGTTTCTCCTCCCCCCAGGAAGAAGACCATCTACAAGACCGTCTGTCTCTCCTTCGCGCTGATCGTAACCGTGACCCTCTTCCAAAAAGGCAGTGTTCCCAACCAGTTCTTTCAGACCCAGCCGCAGAAATCCGTGATCTCCCAAGAGCCGCTGAAAACTCAGAAGACGAATGAAGTCCTGCCCCTCACCAACAACTTCTGGAAAAAGGAGGTCGAGATTCCTCCGCCCGTCAAAGCCACCGAGAAGGAGGTGACCTCCTGGGACGTCAAGGCCACCAACTGCACGGCCAACTCCAACTTCACCAAGGAGGAGTGGTTCAGAAACCTGGAGCCCCACTTCCAGCAGTTCCTCTTTTACCGACACTGTCGCTATTTCCCCATCATCATCAACCATCCGGAGAAATGCCGCGGTGAAATCGACCTGCTGATTGTGGTGAAGTCGGTCATCACTCAATACGACCGCCGAGAAGCCATCCGTAGGACGTGGGGTCAAGAGCGAGTGTTGGACGGGAAAAAAATCAAGACGCTCTTCCTCTTGGGCATTGCCTCCAAAGTAGAGGAGAGGTCCAACTACCAGAAGCTCTTGGAGTACGAAGATCGAATCTACGGGGACGTCCTACAGTGGGACTTCTTGGATACCTTTTTCAACCTCACCTTGAAGGAAGTCCATTTCCTCAAGTGGTTTAACATCTACTGTGACCAGGTCCGGTACATCTTTAAAGGGGACGATGATATCTTCATGAGTCCTGAGAACATCTTGGAGTTCCTCAAGGATCAGAAAGGAGGGGACCTCTTTGTGGGCGACGTGCTGTTCAAAGCGAAGCCCATTCGCAAGAAGGATAACAAATACTACATCCCCAACTCTTTGTACGGCAAAACCTATTATCCGCCCTACGCAGGCGGAGGGGGCTTCGTGATGGATGGCCCCTTGGCCAAGCGTCTCCACAAAGTCTCCGAAAACCAGGAGCTGTACCCCATTGATGATGTCTACCTGGGGATGTGTCTGGAGGACCTCAAGGTGACCCCTGTAGCTCACACCGGCTTCAGAACCTTTGGCCTCGTGAAAAACAAAAACAGCAAAATGAACCGTGAACCCTGTTTCTACAAAAGCATGTTGGTAGTCCATAAACTTAATCCGGCCGATCTGCTCAGCATGTGGGATTTGGTCCATAAACATTTGTCCTGTTCCCAGAAAGCCAACATCCTTTAGCTCAACCCGATTTTGGCCAAAGAGGAAGATCGTAACGGGAGCCCCAAAGATCCTGGGGGAAATCACCCGATTTTCCCACCCACCCCTTTCTAATGAAATTGAAAAGAAAGCAGGACGACAATGATGACTGTCGGCGTTGGAGGGGAGGGAAGGGGTTTGTTGAAATAATTGGAAAAGGGGGGTGGGTGGGGGAGAGAGGTCTTTTTTTTTTCATATTTTATTTGTTCCCTTGTGGGACTTTTGAAGGATGTAGAAAAAAAAACTTGAAGAGATGGGAAGTCGATGGCCACAAAGGGAATTGACTATTCCGGAAGAGATGAAGGATGACTACCCCACGTTGGGCAGTTGGGCAAGTCACCGCTTCCTTTATTTGTGCCCTTTTTTGTGGTGTGCTTTACAGCTGGAGGCTGGTCCTAAAGCTAAGACATTTATTTCTAGGTGTGTGTGTGTGTATGAGAGAGAGAGGGAGGGAGGGAGGGAGGGAGAGAATGTATGTGTATGTTTCCAAAGCTGAATTAAAAAAATCTGTTCAGGAAAGAAGGAAATAACCCAAATTCTAACGTGCATTTTTGGGATCATCCGGCCGGATAGTGTGTTGTGTAGATTTACTTTTTTCTGCAGAGAACATTTTCTTTGGGGGAATAACCACCCTTGCAGCTTATATCCCCTACCCCACTCAGGAAAGAAACCGTCACTCAAATCTCTGCAAACTTAGAAAAACGTAATTGCAATCTGTAGGCGTTTTGTTTTGTTTTTTTAATTTTAAAAAGAGATGTCCTTCTGCGGAATTTGTTCTATGCCAGTGGTCCCCAGTCTTTCCGGCTTTGCAGACTAGGGGCAGGGAGAGAGAGGGTGTGGTTCCAGTGTGCAGCGCCGTTTGAGCAAGCGGCAAGTGTGCACGTATACCTCTCACACAAATGGAGTTGTGCGAGCAGAAGCATATGGGCCTGTCGCTTGTGCCACGGCCCAGGCGTTAGGGATCCCGAGTCCCTCTGTGCTTCATTGCATTTATTTTGTTGGGAAAAAAAATAAGGTACAGTAGCAAGAGGAGGTCCATGATTCTCTCCAGTGTAGGATTTTACTGGTGCCTGGTTGTATTTTGTACTTTAGATCAGGGGTCTCCAACCTTGGCAACTTTTAGCCTGGAGGACTTCAACTCCCAGAATTCCCCAGCCAGCTCTGCTGTACTTTAGATCAGGGGTCTCCAACCTTGGCAACTTTTAGCCTGGAGGACTTCAACTCCCAGAATTCCCCAGCCAGCTCTGCTGTACTTTAGATCAGGGGTCTCCAACCTTGGCAACTTTTAGCCTGGAGGACTTCAACTCCCAGAATTCCCCAGCCAGCTCTGCTGTACTTTAGATCAGGGGTCTCCAACCTTGGCAACTTTTAGCCTGGATTGATTCTTTGCAAATTCATCCATCAGAAAAAGCAAAATAGTGGGAGGTTTGGGGGGAATCCAGGATTTTGGGGAGATCAGGAAGAGTATTAATTAATATTAATTAAGTAATATTAATTAATATAAGTAATATTAATTCGAATGGAAATTACTCTCCATGCAAGAATTCCGATTTTCCTGCGCAGAGAAATTTCATCTCTTAAAATGTCCCATTCATCCCTGCCAAAGCCCATTGCTGGCTGGGGATGATGGGTCTTTTTTTGCATCTAGACGACGGAGGACAGAGCTCCCAGGTCCCAGCGGCGAAAAAAATCCCGATGCTCATTTAAAAAGCCAAAGAAAAATATTTTTTTAAAAAAAAAAAAATCCGGATTTTTTTTTTTGCAAGCCGGATCTGATAAGAATTGAACGGCGGGCGCCCGTTGGAGAAGGCGAGCCAACTCCACGCCGAAGACTAAGGAAAGAGTCCGACAGCGCCCCCTTTGGATGGCTGGAGGGAAATAAACCCGGGCGCTGACCAATCAGGATGCTTTTTTAAAAAAAAAAAAAAACGCTCGGAGTCCCTCCTTCGGCTCCGACCCGCCTTCGTTGCCCAAGGCCACGCCTCCCCTTCTCGTTCGCCCATTGGCCGCTTTCCCTCGGCGCCACCAATCCCCTCCCCGCCAGGCTTTCGGTTGGAATTCTCGGCGCGCGCGAGGCGGAAGGCTGGGGGGGGGGGGGGAGCGTTTCATCGAGCGCGCGGGGCAAAAAAAGAAGAAAAAAAAAAAGGCGGGTAGAGCGGCCACGCCCTCCCGTGACGTCACAGGTTGGCCTTCCAGGGCTTTGTTAGGGAAGGGAGGGGGTGTCCTGGGGGGGGGGCAAGAATTTGGGGAGTGGGGGGGGAGATGCACGTTGGGGGGGGGAGTTTGTTAATCTTGAAATCTAATATTTTTTGGCTTTGCAATTGCTTTGCAGTTCCTGGGGGGGGGGAGTAAGGAGAGCTTCACCGGTTGCATTGCTGCCTGCTGCTTGGCAGGGTATTATAGCAAAGGACCAGCTAGGAGAGGGAGGGGGGGGCTTTGGGAAATGGGGGTGGGAGAGGATGCAAGGGCTTGCTGAAAGTTATTGGGGGTGGGGGAGAGATTTTCCTTGGGGACAGGGGAAAAAAATCAGAATAAAGCCCTTTCCCCATTTGCCCTACGCAGCGGGTTGGACTAGATGACCTCGGGTGCCCCTTGGCAGCCCTGGGATGCTCTGATCTCTGTTAGGATTGGCAGGGAGGGTGCACTTGCCTGGGTTGGATCTCTGGGGTGGCAGTTTGTTTTTTAATAGCCACTGATTTGTTTTTATTCTGCCCTTACTGATTTTATAAATGGGACTCAAGATGGCCAATGTACCCAACGTTCTTTCTTCGGCCAGCCCTAGAAGGCGGGCTGGGCTGAGAGGAACTGGCTCAAAGTCACCCAGCTGGCTTTGGTGCCTAAGAAGGGACTAGAACTCCCAGTCTCCTGGTGATTGGCCCAAAATCACCCAGCTGGCTTTGGTGCCTAAGGCAGGACTAGAACTCCCAGTCTCCTGGTGATTGGGGCAGAGTTACCCAGCCAGCTTTCATACCTAAGGTGGGACTAGAACTCACCATCTCCCGGTGATTGGCCCAGAGAGTCACTCAACTGGCTTTCCTGCCTAAGGTGGGACTAGAACTCCCAGTCTCCTGGTGATTGGGCAGAGTTACCCAGCCGGCTTTCATGCCTAAGGTGGGACTAGAACTCACACTCTCCTGGTGATTGGCCCAAAGTCACCCAGCCAGCTTTCGTGCCTAAAAAATAGCCCTGATCCCGAAAAAATGGTGTAGGCTCCCCTGCTTGGGCGGGGATGTGGTTGGACTAGATGACCTAGAAGGTCCATTCCAACTCTGTTCATCCTTTAAAACCATTTCTGAGGTTTGTGCAGAGCTTTCGAGGCGTGTAAAGCCATGTGCTCTGCCACATGTCAGGGTGGTGGAATAACAGAGCTGGAAGGGGCTTTGGAGGTCTTCTAGTCCAACCCCCTGTTCAAGCAGGTTGAACAGGGGGTCTTCCATCCTTTCTAAGGTAGGTAGGCCTTCCATCCTTTCTAAGGTAGGTAAATTGAGGACCCAGTTTGTGGGGGCAATAAGCTGACTTTGTATAAATATACAAAAGGATGAAAGCTATTGCTGAGCACATTGTAAGCCGCCCTGAGGCTCGGGAGAAGGGCGGCATATAAATCAAAATTTAAAAAAAAAAAAAAAAAAGCAGGTGATTCTATATACCATTTTCCGATAAATCAGTGGGTCTCAACCTTCCTAATGCCGCGACCCTTTAATACAGTTCCTCATGTTGTGACCCCCAACCATAAAATTATTCCTAAAACCATTGAAAATAGGTGTTTTCTGATGGTCTTAGGCGACCCCTGTGAAAGGGTCGTTCGACCCCCAAAGGGGTCCCGACCCACAGGTTGAGAACCACTGCGATAAATGATTGTCCAGTCTCTTCTTAAAAACCTCCAGTGATGGAGCACCCACGATTTTTGAAGTCATTGCACTGATTAATTGTTCTGTCAGGAAATTACTCCTTATTTCTAAGCTTCTTGTTCCGCCTTCAGGTGCTTTGGAGAATAGTTTGACTCCCTCTTCTTTGTGGCAGCCCCTGAAATATTGAAAGACTGCTATCATGTCACCCCCAATTCCTTCTCTTCATTAGAGTAGCCAAACCCAATTCCTGCAACTGTTGGCCTTCAGTCCCCTAATTATCTTTGTTCCTTTTCTAGGTCTTCTAGTCCAACTCCCTGCTCAAGCATGGAAATCCTGTACCATTTCAGACAAATGTTGTCCAATCTCTTAAAAACCTCCAGTGTTGGAGCCACCCACAAGATTACTCCCCAAGGGGGTTATTCCTTATCACATAAATATGGAAGATTACTCCTCTGTCTTTAGCAGAGTTCAACTCATTTGATCAAGATTTTTTTTTTTGTATTGACATTCATGCTTTTCAAAATTGGCATCCCTGTACAGCACCCTGATACCATCCAAATCAGGGACTCTTGGACAGCAAAAAGAGACAAAGAAGCTGATTTATTTAGATAGAAATGAACTGTAGTAAGAAGGCAGGACATCAGGTGGAGGATCCTACAAAAATCCCATTTCTATTATGAAATTGAGTATTGAGCATTTTGGGATTTATACTTTGAAAAGGAATAACTCATGGAGTTTCATTTTGGAACAATTTTGAGATTAAACTTTCACACATCTGCAGTACATAATTTTTGTTCGCAACTAAAATTCACAATCTGCTCTGTTTCCCCCCAAAATAAGAATCCCCTGATAATAAGCCCAATTGGGCTTTTGAGCGCATGGCAATAAGGCCAAGCGCTTATTTCAGGTTTCAAAAAAATATATAAGTCAGTGTCTTATTTTCGGGGAAACAGATTTCTAATCTTTCTGTTTTAGTGGGCCGATACAAGTTCTGCAAAATAGACACCTAGCCATTTGTCACTAATAGCACTTGGTGTGATTGAAAAAGAAAATTTCAGTGCTTTAGATTTTAAGGATGAGGCGGCCCAGCAAATTCAAATCATAAAATATCCTTAAGATAGTATGACAAATAAAACTACTTAATCATTGCAGAATGAAATGTTGATGGAAGACTCCATTTATCAACAAAACCCATTTGCAATTCCAAATACTTCCAAATAATTATATGGTAGTGCAATACAGATACAGGTAGTCTTATCCTGGGACACACACATTTGCCTTCATTCGTGAAAATCAGTGATACTGGCTGGAAGTTACAAATCGTGGTTGCATGTTACACTTAACAGCCATGGGTGATTCACTTAATGACTGCTGCTGGAATTGACATAGTAAGTGGGCTCAGCTATGTTTCGCTTAACATTGCTTAGTGATTGAGTTTGCAGCTCCAATTACTCAGTAAGGACTGTAACATCTGGCTAGCTTTGGATATTTTAGATCATGGGTATCCACCCTTTTGGCCTGCTTGGGCCGCATTGAGTCAAGAATTGTCTTGTGCTACCTATAAAATACATACTTGATTTATATAAATCATGAAAATGTTAAAAATTTATAATTTTGTATGGTTGCAGCTGTCCAGGGTTTCATGTAGACGGCTGGACCTGTCTATTTTAGATGGTGAGAGAAATTAAGACCACCCATATTTTTTGTTTCACAGAATGTTAAAAATCAGCCTAAACAAAAGAAAATGACTACCCTTCCCCCAAAGGATATTGATGACAGTGAAGAAGAAGATTCATCAGAAGAAGAGGAGAGCAGTGAGGAAGAGGTGAGAACCATTGTGGTGAAGGTGCTACACTAGGATCTGAGTTCTGATCCAGCCTCAGCCGTGAAAAGTCAATTGGGAGACTTGCTGTGTCTCTCAGTTCAATCTTCTGCACAAGTAGGATTGTTATGACAAAGAATAATAAGATAGAGTGCTCTGAACACAACTTTGAGCTTCCAAACAATCTTCGCCTTAAATCATTTCACGTTATATTAGAAACACAACTGGAATTGGAAGGCTATTCCTGTTTCACTGTGCCCCCCCCCCCCATGTGGCTTGAACATGTTGAATGTAATAAAAGCCCATAGGTAGTTCTCAACTACCGTAAGTGGGATTGGAAGTCTAGGCATCCCAATAGCCTGAAGTAATTTTCTGGCCGTTTTGAAATGGTGGTCCTTAGGCCAGCCCATTCGTTTGCTGGAAATCTACAAAGTGCCATAATCGGCAAAAAAAAAACCCCAAACCCTAATGTAAAGCATCATGTGGCCACAATGGATAATGAAAACTACCTGCCCAGTTTTGTCACATGGTGGGGGGGGGGGTTTGTCAGTACAACCCTTTATGGTGATAGGGAGCTTTACTAACCATTCTGTGATCATTGTAACTTCACACGGGGTGTTATCAGTCAAGGACTGCCTGTAAATGAAAATATTCAGTTTATATATTGGTAATGACTGTTTCCCAAATGGAATGATGGCTGCACAGTAGCTTTTTCCTGCTGGGCTACACTTCTTAACTTAAAAACATAGAACTGAAACTGTTTCCTTGGTGGATTTTAATCCCTATTTCCCTTATTTGGGGGGCTGCTATCTACAGTAATGCTTTTTCCCTGCAGATGCTTGCTCCTAAGAAGGCCGCCACCCCAGCAAAAGCAGCTACCCCCAACAAAAAGGCTGCCACTCCTGCGAAGAAGACTGTAGCTACTCCAGCCAAGAAAGCCGCTGCTCCTCCTGCAAAAAAGACACCTGTCCCTGCCAAAGGAGCAAAAAATGGAAAGAATGCAAAGAAGGAAGAAAGTGAGGAGGAAGAGGATGATGATGATGAAGACGAGGAGGAGGATGATGAGGAAGATGATAGTGAGGAAGGTAAATTGGATCTGGTAAACAGAAGGATCTTGTAAATGTTTGTATTCTGCTGTATGCAGAATCCCCTGGAGTTGAGTGGTATATACGTAGATACAAATAAGTAAATGATAATACAGATAGTCCTCTACTTACAACCACAAGTCCAGAATTTCTGTTGCTAAGTGAAACATTTGTTAAGTGAGTTTTGCCCCCCCCCCTTTTTTTTTTTTTTTTTAAACTTTCTTGCCAAGGTTGATAAGTGAATCTGACTTTCCCATTGGCTTTACTTGTCAGAGGGTCGCAAAAGGGGATCACGTAACCCCAGGGATATGGCAACTGTCGTAAATATGAAGCAGTTGAACGTAAATCACATGACCATGGGAATACTGCAACGGTCATAGGTATGAACAAAGTCCCTTTTTTCCAGTGCCGTTGTAACTTTGAACGGTCACTAAACGAACTGTTGTAAGTCGAGGACTACCTGTATCAATATTCCTTACATTTGGCACTCCCAAGCTACATCTTCTGGAAAGGATCTTCCCCGCCATACAAGTGATCTCATTAGGGAGCCCCTGTTATTTTTTCTTTCTTTTCATTGTTTTTTTTTTTTTCAAAAGGAGAGTCAATTTGTTAAATGTAAGCTTATCAGTTGATTAAGAACTAATCTAAGTAAACTGCTACAGATGAATCTGAGGAGGAACCTGCTGTGCCAGTGAAGAAACGGGGTGCCCAAGCACCTCAGAAGAAGCCTACTGTAGCTCCTGCCAATCTGAAGCAACTGGACGAGGAGGAAGATGAAGAGGAGGATAGCGAAGAGGAAGGTACGTCTCCTGGAGAGAAGCGCAGCTTCCTGAGGCTAAAAGTCACAAAGAAGTGCTAGCTAGCTAGCAAAAGCACGGCGGATTCTGCAAGGGTGAAGATGTCGCCGCTCCTTGCAACAAACTCGAGTACAACTGAATTGGGTTTAACGAGGGGGAGAGCAGTTAAATTTAAGAAAATAGCAGAGAGAAAGAGGGTGGAGTTCTTGTGAGAAGGGATGGTAGGAAAACTTCAGCACAAATGATGAGTTTTGGGACTTAATACTGATCTGGTGATGTCTCGCATAAGATCTGATGTGTTGATCCCGCTCCTAAGTCAAATTACAGAAAAGTAGTAGCACTCAAACAGCGTTTTTTAAATTGTCTTGAGTTGAGGGGGATTTTAGAATGGCAGCAGATGACCCTACAGGTAGTCCTTAGTTCATTTAGTGACCGTTCGAAGTTATGGCCATTTTTCACACATACGACCGTTGCAGCATCCCCACGGTCACCTTGGCAATGAACTCTTTTATTTATGACAGTCGTGGTGTCCAGAGTCAGGCAATCCCCTTTTGTGACCTGACAAGCCATGGTGAATCCAGATTCACTTAACAACCACGTTGCTACCTTAATCACTGCCATTTTTGCTTAATAGCTGTGGCAAGAAAGGTCGTACAATGGGGCAAAACTTAGCAACAGAAGTTGTGGTTGAACTTCTTCAGCTCTGACTGGATGGTGGGGAATGGAAGGATTTGTACTCCTTCATGCTCCTTTATACTTACGGGAGTATAAATCCTTCCATTCCCCACCATCCAGTCAGAGCTGAAGAAGCTTCTTGGATGAGAAGCAAAACGTCTTCAATGAAAAACCAGAAAGTCCAGTTGCCTCTTGAAAAAAAACACCTTGGGACTTATCTCTTTACATTGATTGGGACTGGTAGAGCATTTTCGGGAGGGGAGGGGAGGGGTTAGGCCAAAGATTGCCAGAGGGATGAAGAGAAGGTAGTTTTTGACAGTTTGTCTTGGCCCAGCACCTGCGAATCGCGGGAGTTAACTCAGGGTGGCCCTTTTGTTACGGCTTTAGAGTCAGAAGACGAGCCCATGGAAACCACTCCAGCCAAGGGGAAGAAAGCTGTGCTGGCAAAAGCGACCCCTGCCAAGGCAGTCCTAGCAAAGGAGGATTCTGAGGAAGACGATGAAGACTCTGAGGAAGAGGAGGAGGAGGAGGAGGAAGGGGATGAAGAGGAAGATGACGAGGATGACGATGACGACGAAGGTGAGTTAACCTGTCCCGCTGCTTTTGCATTAGGTCCAAGGTGGGTCCCAAAGCTGGAAATGATGATTTCTCGCTGAACTGATGTGATCCAAAATCACACATGAGCAAATCCTCAAGATAGTCAAGTCCTGATCCAGCACTCTTGTCTTGCGGCTTTTTTCCTCTATATGTGAATTTTTTTAAAAAAGAAAAAAAAAACATCTGTTTGCCCTTTTACTCCCCAGACGCTCTGCCTGGAAAACGAAAGAAGGAATTAGCCAAGCAAAAAGGTGCCCCAGATGCCAAGAAGAAGAAGACGGAAGGTGAAGGCAAGACCTCCCAACAGGATTACTAATAATTACTTCTCTCTCCATGTCCCTTAACTTGGCTTCAAATATTTTAGTTACCCGATTCTTGACAACCCTGAAAATTTCAAATAGGTGATAAGATGCACCAAAGAAAAATTCCTTGTGTGTCCAATCACATTTGGCCAATAAAAGAATTCTATTATTCTATTCTATTGTATTATATTCTATTCTATTGTATTATATTCTATTCTATTATAGTCTAAGATAGTCTAAGTTCAGGAATAGCAATAGCATTTTAGGCTTATATACCGCCCTGTAGCCCTTTACAGCACTCTCTGGGGAGTTTATAGTGGAAAAGCATTATTTACTTATTGTCCCCAACAATCTGGGTCCTCATTTTACCCACCCCGGAAGGATGGGAGGCTGAGTCAACCTTGAGCCCCATCAGGATCGAACTCCTGGCAGTGGGCAGAGTCAACCTGAAATACTGCACTATGACCACTGTGCCATCAGGGCTCCTGTAAAGGTAGGTGGGCGAAGCCTAGCCCAATCCTTAAGATCTTGTTAGTCTGCCCCCAGTATATAAATTATTGTCCGTTAGAGCATGGGTCCCTAATCTGTCCGCCGTGGCCCACTACAAGTCCACAGCCTATTCTCAACCGGGCCACATGAGTGGCTGGCTGTTGCGTGCCCGCAGATCCCCACTCACAAATATTGCAGGGGCTCGGGGCCCCACTTGTGCAAGCATTGTGGGCACTCGCGCAAGCAACGGGCTCACACACAGACTTGCCCCTGCTCCGGGCCACCGACACAGAAAAGTTGGGGAACTCTGCCTTAGAAGATAATACAGGTAGTCCTCAAATTGCAACAGTTCATTTGGTGACCATTCAAAGTTACAACCACACTTACGGCCATTTTTCACATTTATGACCATAGCAGCATCCCCATGGTTACGTGATTTACACTCAGACGCTTGGCAACTGACTCACATTTATGACGGTTGCAGGGTCACGTGATCCCCTTTTGTGACCCTTTGACAAGCAAAATCGGTGGGGGAAGCAGATTCACTTAACGGTGTTACTAACTTTAACTGCAGTGAATTCACTTAATAAATACGATAAAAGTCATAAAATGGGTCAAAACACATAACAAATTTCTCACTTAGTGACACAAATTCTGGTCTCGGTTACAGAACTACCTGTAGTTCTGCATTGCTATCCTGCTTTTTCCAAAAGTTGCAGTTGAATGTATAAAATAGGCTAAAGTAGCAAAAGGACTGAGGTTTTTTTTTTAAAAAAATTTCCGTGCAACTTTCCATCAGCACTTCCTGCTAATCCTGGGGAGGATTTGCCAGATGTCTCAATCTCCCCTTTACCTTTGCAGAGGCTGCTGCCTTCTCTCTCTTCATGAGTAATCTCAATGCAAGCAAGAACTTTGAAGAACTCAAGGCTGCCATCAGAGATTTCTTTGCCAAAAAGGATCTTCAAGTCCAAGAAGTCAGAATTGGCAATTCAAAGTAAGAACTTTGCCGAGTTGGAAATATGGGTGGGGGGGGGAGGAGGAGGAAACTGGTGGAGATTTTTCTTTCTTAAAAAAAAAATGTAAGGATTTAACTTTAAAACTACCTTTCCCAACCTCATGAATCCTAGAGGTACGGGGAATGTACCTTGGGTGTTTTGTAGACATTGAGTTTTGCTGAATGAAAAATTGCTTATACATTTGTAAATGCCACAAACTTATTGGGAGCTTCACGAAGAGTGCAAAACTAGGCAGAGTGAACTAATAGAACTGAGAAATGTGTTGGGACAGGGTTAGGGGTGAAAATGGACTTGGAGTTGTAGTTGATTGCAAACTGAACATGAGTGAACAGTACAATACAGCTTTGAGTAAAGCAGCAGGCGTTGAACAAATGAGCGGGCCAATGAGAGAGCCATCCCTTAGGACTATCCCTAACCACCACCAGTTGTGTACAAGAGACAACAAATGCTGCTGTATGTTATTGCAAAGCTGCTAAGATAATCTTGGTTCAATTGGCCAAGCACTTATTTCAGGGTTCAAAAAATATAAGACAGGGTCTTATTTTTGGGAAAACATGGGTAGCAATAGCACTTAGACTTACATACCGCTTCACAATGCTTTCCAGCCCTCTCTAAGCGGTTTACAGCCTCTGGGTCCTCATTTTATCCACCCCAGAAGGATGGGAGGTTGAGCCTGGTCAGATTCGAACTGCCAAATTGCAAGCAGTCAGCAGAAGTAGCCTGCAGTACTGCACACTCACCACTGCGCCACCGTGGCTCATAATAGCACTATGAATACATGAGTGCATATTTTGGCTTGACAAGCATCAAGCACTTTTTCACAAAATTTCTAGGCTGATCACTTGCCTCTTTGTATGGCTCATCAGGAATACTCTTGCTGCATTTCAGAAGGCAAAAGCAATTCCGGTTGGACTGGCTTGCTTTGGTTTGGGGGTGTTCATGCTTGCATTCTACACAGTCTCTTGTGTGCCCCTTTTGTGGAGATTGTGGAGTGCATTTAAAAGTATAAGGTCTGCTAAGGTTCAGTATGTATGTGTATACTCTTGTGCACTGTAAGTGCATATTGTGGCCTGGTTATTTTGTGTGTGTGTGTCAGTCCCTTTAGCATTTCAAGTAATAGAACATTACAAATGAGAAGAATGAGGGAGGGAGCCCTCTCAGTAAAGGTCCAGCTACTTTAATTTGCTTTAAATTGGATGGCAGTTGGACTTGGGAAAGCAATCGTGTGTGCTTAATGCTTTAAAAAAAATAGACTGATTTTTTTTCCCCTTTGTCATGCAGGAAGTTTGGCTATGTAGATTTCTCCTCTGAAGCTGAACTGGATAAAGCACTCAAATTAAATGGGAAAAAACTGATGGGCCTGGAAACGAAACTAGAAAAGGCAAAGAGTAAAGAGAGCCTTTGGGAGAATAAAAAAGGTGAGTAACATTACACTTCACGTATTTTGTTTGGCAGCACTTTTATATATACCATGTCCCCGATGCAGCAATTAAGGCTATAGTAATTAAGGTATCAGGCAAGAAACGGGGAGAAGGTGAGCTCTAGTCCTACCTTGGGCTGGATGACCTTCATTCTAGGAAGGAGGAGGCAAGGGCAACCACTTCTGAAAAACTTTGTCAAGGTAACTGCAGGGGCTGTCCAGGCAGTTGCTAGGAGGCAAACACCAACTCAAAGGTGCACGTACAACAGAGACACACATGTAAGTCTAATTGACTATTAAATATTACGCCAAAGCTTTGTATGAAAGCGGTCCTTCCCTTGTGTGCCAGATTAGAGCTGAAGTTCAACTCTCAAAAGAACAGAGGAAAATGTATTCACTGGGCCAGAAAATTTACCTTTCCAGCCCAGTGATGCCTATTCTGATAGCTACTAAGCCTTGAAGAACTCGGGCAGACAGCAGGGTTATCCATGGGTGTCCAGCTGAAGTTCTGTGTGGTTGTGACATTTTATTTATTTTTGCGGCCAGGATTTTCTTTTAATAAGTTGCGATTTTGATTGACTGGTTGGCCAGCAAGTGTGCAAATGAAATGGCCTAATATTGTAATATGTGGGGTTTTTTTCCTCCTAGAGAGAGAAGCAAGGACCATTTTCGTGAAGAACCTTGCTTACAGCGTCACCCAGGATGAACTGCATGCCGCATTTGAGGAGGCTGTCGAGGTCAGGCTGGTCTCCAAGGATGGGAATAGTAAAGGGTATGTTGCTCTTAAGAACACCAGTATATTTTTATTTCTTTGTAATAAGATTTGTGCCGCTTTCCTTTTTAAATAGTTTAAAGGAATTCTGTCGTTGTAATCACATCCATGTAACTGAGAAAAGTCTTTGTTTTTAAAATCTCCATGTAGATGTAATTTATTTTGGAGTTCCTATGCCCATTCTGCTAAAGATTAACCGTGCAAAAACAAGCTAGCTAGTCATGACTTTGTACCGAAATTATTTATTTAGCGTATGGCATAGAGCACAAGTATAACATTAATAAAATTATATGGAATGAGCACATCATAATATGGGACATATATGATAGAAATATGTAGTCAATGTTTTAAGATTTGGAGAATTCAAGAAATTATACCTTAAGTTATAGGTTACATTTTAAAATACATTGATTCATAAGAATAGAATATGTGTTCTATATATTAATATAGGCCAAAATGAACCAAAAAGCTCAGGGAAACCACCTCTAAAAATTACTCTTATGTGTTGAATTAGCTTAATAAAAGCCAGACCTGAAGAAATGGCATGATTTACAACTTCTCTGGGAAGCTAGCTAGGAATACAGGTAGTCCTTGACTTATAACAGTTCATTTAGAGACCAAAGTTTTACAACGGCACTGGAAAAAAAGGGACTTTTTTCATACTTATGACGGTTGCAGCATTCTCTTGATCATGTGATCAAAATTCAGATGCTTGGCAACTGACTCGTACCTATGACCGTTGCTGTGTCCCAAGGTCACGAGATCCCCTTTTGCAAACTTCCAACAAGCAAAATCAGTGGGGAAGCCAGATTCACTGAACAACCGTATTACTAACTTACCAGCTGCGGTGATTCACTTAACAACTGGCAAGGAAGGTTGTAAAATGGGGCAAAACTCCCTTAACAAATGTCTCACTAAGCAACAGACATTTTGGGCTCAGTTGTCGTCGTAAGCCGAGGACTACCGGTATGAGCAGTTAAGGAGCTTGTTAACCTGGCTTCCCAAACAAATCTTGGATGAAAGCCGTAATGTTGTTCCCTCCCTTTCATTCCAGGATCGCCTACATCGAATTTAAAAGCGAGGCCGATGCGGAGAAAGCTTTGGAGAAGCAGGGGATGGA